AATTCTGACAAACTCCAAGCATTGATTATGCAAGAATGGGCTGCCATCAGTCAGGATGTGGCCCAGAAGTTGATTGACAGCATGTCAGGGCGAATTGCAGGTGTCTTGAAAAAGAAGGGTCAACACTGCAAATATTGACTCTTTGCATAAACTTAATGTAACTGTCAATAAAAGCCTTTGACACTTATGCAAATGTTTGTACTTATACTTCAGTATACCACTGTAACATCTGCATGAAGATCTTCCAACACTGGAGCAGCAGACCTTGTGAGAATTAATCTTTGTGTCATTCTCAAAACTTTTGGCCAAGGGTGTATATTTTGAGTGCTATGATGCAGGAGGAGCCAACTAGATAGAGTACCTTGCCTCTAAGTGGGAAGCACTGGATGTAGATTAAGTGAAGCTCCTCACAGCTTAAAGGTCATTTATTATAAATCTTCTGTTTTCTCCAAAGCTCCTGTTCCCCATTTTTTCCCCACAACAGCCTTGTGAAGCAGGCTAGCCTGGGGTCCTACAATGAATCTCCATAGCTGAGTGGAGATTTGAAACTGAATAACAGAATCAAGCAAGGATAGTCTCACTTTATTCACACAAATTTTATTTCTAGGTGCAAAACAAGGGAGGGGATCAATCAAATTTGACAGATTTGACTTTAAGATCACCAACAATAGAGAAGAATTCCACTGTTTCCACTTCCATCCTATTTGGGAACTTGACTTCGTGGCCCCTGGGCATTTTCACTATCACCTCTTTGGCATCGAAGTAGACAAAGAGCTGGAAGAAATTAAAAATAAAGTCCTTTGAGAGAAATCTTACATAGTTTATTATACTGTTAGATGCTGTAAAGGTCGTGAGAGAGAACACCAGTCTGGTGTAGTGGTTAAGGCACCAGGCTAGAAACCAGGAGATTGTGAGTTCTAGTTCCACTTTGAGCCAGTCACTCTCTCAGCCCTAGGAAGGAGACAGTGGCAAACTACTTCTAAAATCTTGCCAACAAAACTGCAGGGACTTGTCAAGGCAGTCAGCAGGAATCAAAAACTGACTTGAAGGCACAAAGATCATGCACAAAAGAATAAAGCTTTCAAACCAAATGGTAAAGCATTAAAATTAAGTCAAACCATAATACAAAAGCTGCAGGAGTGTTCAAACTCACTAATCTTGCCCAACTTTAATCATGGTTTACTAGATTAATTTAGGCCCCTGGATTCACACAATTAGACATGCCACTAGAGGGCATTTTTCTTTGCTAGCATCTAAAGATCCTCCAGTTTTGTGCAACCCAGATAACATAGGCACCCCAAGACATTTAGCTTACCCCAAATCTAACCAAGGTTAAAACTACCCATGTTAACAAACTAAAACAGTGTTGGGTCATTTATGGGTCAGCATACTGTGGGAGCCCAGCCATTGTCTTAGCACACTGAATGAGTCAGATGGTCTTAAAGCTGTATGACAGGTAGTCCTCAGTTAATGACCACTCATTCAGCAACTGTTCAAAGTTAACAATGGCGCTGAACAAGGAGACTTGCAACCCTTCCTTGTAGTTGAGGCCACTGCAGTGCCCCTGCAGTCACATGATCACAATTTGGGTGCTTGGTGACCGGTTCCCAATTATAACAGTTGCAGCATCTCATGGTCACGTGATCGCCATTTATGACCTTCACAGTTGGCTTCCAACAAGCAAAGTGAATGGGGAAGCTGGCAGGAGGTCATGTGATCACAAATGGCAACCACATGATGTCACACTTAACCACAACTGCCATCATAAGTTGGCATGGTCATGTGACATCACGCTTTACAACCGTGTCGCTCAGTGACAGAGTTGGCGGTCCCCATTACCACTGTTAACCAAGGCCTACCTGTATAGTTTATTTGGTCAAAGCAAGCTGTGAACACAGTAATTCTGTTTGTCAAAATGGGTTTAGCATGCTGAATTAATCCGGCCATTGGCTCCCTATGTCATGCTCTAAGCATGCAGGAGCAGAAGAGTCATTGTGGCAAAGCAATGCAATTTTGGAACCCCTCTGACCAGAAGCTGGAAGGAACCTTTAACTTCAATTAGCCCTTCTATCTGAGTTCTTAGTCACTGGTGTGTATCTTAAAGCTGTAATTCCTGTCTTTATGAAACTAGTGGAGTGGGTCATCCAGAGTTTGTGGAATATCATCAATATGCTTTATGATGCTTATCCAATTCCAAGAATTGCCTGAGGTTGATAAAGAGCTGGACGAGGGAGGATAAATTAAAAATTAAATCCAGACAAAACTAAGTTCATTGATAAATTGGAAACAAGATTTTGAGCGTAAAGTTCACGTATTTTGGCTCAGGTTGCATTTCCCTAGAAGGATCATGCAGGGAGTCTGGGAGTGCTCCTCGAGCCCCAGGCGTCACCGGAGCTGCAGATGTCGCGCCTTCGCACATCACATCAGCTGCATCCTTTCGTAAGCCAGCTGGATTTAGCAGCTACAACCCATGCCTTTGTTACTGCCCATCTTGACTTCTGCAATGTGATCTCGGTGAGGTTCCCCTTGTGAAGTGTCCAGATGATGTAGGGAACAAATAAAGGTCTAAAGCCCTTAGGCCTCCCAATGGCTTAGGAGGCTGATTAGCTCAGGACCTGAAGGGGTCAAGCTCTTCAGTTCAGCAGGAAAGATGCCGGTTTTGTAAAGTCTCATCATTTTGTAGAGTCTCATCTTTCTGGCACAGAAGCAAGGGGTTTCTCCTGAGTTACTCCCAGGCAAAGGAATGCATAGGAATTGCACTGATCCTCATTTGCTCAACCCTTAGAAACTCTACAAAGATGTGTTTTAAATTCAATGATTTCAGTACTTTCTCTTGTTAACTTCAATCTGTGTTTTTAACCTGACATTTTATTCTTTTAACATTTTGTTAGCCACCTTGAATGTTCACCAGGTGGGGCGTGAATCAAATAAGTAAATACAACAAACCTTGGTTAAAAACTCTCCTACCGTTTCAAAGGAACCCAACGTCCAACTTTAGACAGCACAAAGGCAATTGCAAATTAGTGTACCATGTCATGTAAATTTAACCAGGCATTCTTGTATTGGTGAACCAGCAGTGTGGTAAAGTTAAAAAAAAAAAAAACAATGTTGATCCTTCTTTAATCTATGAGACATTAACTGGCTTCAAGGAGAGCCATTCTCCCCAATATCAACCAACACCACCAATCTGTCCAACTATATCAGTCTTTCTGTCTATCCTGATAAGCTATGCTTTTACTTTGATTAGTTGTCGAGTTCAGCTTTCTTCAACCTGGTGCACTCCAGGTCTGGTAGCCATGCTGGAGTTTGAAGTCAACACATCAGGGAGGTACCAAGTAGAGGGGAGACTAACAATAAATTTCTCTTACCTTGATGTCTTCCCCCTGATAAAAAGGGAACTCTGACTCCCGGAGCTCTATACCCCATTCTCCACATGATTTGGAATTGCAAACAACGGTCCTAACATCCTCCTGACTCTCGAAGCGAGGGTTGAAATGAAGGATCAGCTCAGACTCATCCTGTCCCAAGTTGAGGGCAAAACTAGAAAGAACAAATGTTGGCCATTTGTTGATAGTCCAAGAATTCTATTGTCCTATTTAACCTTCCACACCCACAGGTATGTGTGCAAGTAGAAAAATTAATGAAACCATAAAGATGGGAGGTCCAGAGCAGCCCTACTTGTGAGGCTGCTCTGGGCTTTCATCTTTATTTCCTAAGACCACGGGGGAGAATTAACCCTTTCTCTTCATGACTAGAAAATGCAGCCTGACTCCATTCGAATAACTACAAAACAATTACCCCAAAGTAATTTGGGACCTGATCCAGAAATAACCAATTTATGAAATCATACAACGTGCTGGGTCTTTGAGTAATTCAAAGGTTAAGCCTGATGTGCCAATGCACATTCTCATCCTGTGTGCTGGACAAATTTTAACCCTCTGCCCTGAGATCAGTGTTTTTCAAACTTGGCAACTTTAAGATGGGTGGACTTCAACTCCCAGAATTCCCCAGCCAGCCCCACGGGCTGGCTGGGGAAGTTCTGGAAGTTGAAGTCCACCCATCTTAAAGTTGCCAAGTTTGAAAAACACTGCCTTAGATCATGCCTATAACTCCACATGCACAGATACAAGAAAACCTGAATTGCAAGAACATTTTTAAACTTAGCCTTTTTCCAGGTCAAGAATCAAAATGGTCCACTGCCTCTGTGTTTTAAATAGCATGGAAATATAGCCCTTGAAGCAATTTATATTATTTGGTATTTGTCCCTTCAGGGAATACCATCACTGTATAATCATACAAAGGCAGTTTATTATGATTTTTTAAAAACTACCCAGGTTCTCCAAAAAAAATCACAACAAAGAGATGATACATTTAAAGGACATGTTGAGGTCCAGCTATCCACTAAACAAAAATGGATTCACAGTCCTTTTATTATGGAATGATTCAACCCAGCATCCACCCAACCCAATATTCTTCATAGTGTAACTATAGTTCTATTATTGACAAACCTTTTAGCATTCATTTCTATCTTGCCTTTCACTTTGATGCAGTCCCCAGACCTGATTTTCACATAAGCAACCAGCTGCTAAAAAAAGAAGAGTGCAGGGTGAGAATTGCCAAACTTCCAGCCCAAAACAGAACATTTAATAAATCAATATTCTGTGGTTACCTCAAGGCTACAGATGAGAATTGAAAGCACAGGAAAAAATCAGGAAAGAAAACCTCCCCCAAGGAGGTGTTTTTGTTCTTTTCTGTTCATAAGACATCTATATAAAACTACATATAGAATTTTTGTAAGCAGCAGACAAGCTATATTAGGTATTTTTCAAGTGCATTTTTTTAAAGGAACAGTTCTTTTCACACCAAAAAAGCATTTGGTCCTCCTTCGCTCTTAGATTTGCTTCCCTCGTTATTTCTAATTTAGAGATCAAAAAGTACTAAAAATATATTTAAAATGTACACATTTCAAATTCTGAAAGTGCTTTTTTTCAGAAACCTAAGATTGTTTTTCCCCCAGTTCAGAGTTTCCAGAAATTTTCCATCTTTAGTATAGACTGTGACCGAGTTCTCACATCACACTGTTTTATTTCACATGGTTTAATGAATAAACCACAATTGGCTAGATTGTACATCATGCTGACCCATTTGCTAGACATTGCAACTTACAAATGGTTGGGTTCCATAGATTAAGCCAAAACTAAGCAAACCCAGTTATACTTTAGCATAATGTGTGAAGCCAGTTTCATGTAGGCTAAGTTGCCTTAAGCTTGATTCAGTTTGCTTATGGACAAAGTTATCCTGGGTAGAAAACAACTAGCACAGATAACTTTCCATAAAAGTTTTATGTAAGGAAAAGAACAGAAACAAGCTTGCAATTCAGTAGAAGACCAAAGCTGTGCTGAAACCCAGGAGATCAAAAAATTGGGACAATTTCAGATTCTTCAGCTTAGAAAGTACAGTACAACATGTGAACGCAAAGAGATGCATAGTACAAAGTTTGTACACATATCTGTGCACACCACAGAGAAAAGGAACAGAGAGAACATTTTCTCCCTTCCTTACAACCAGAAGCCAGGTTTAGCTAAGGAGGCTGACTAGTGGGAGATCTAAGACACTGGAAAATAAGTATCTTTTTTGCTGGCTCCATAATCCAAGTTCCGTCGCATGTGGCAAGGCTAATATTCAATCCACAGCAGCTTTCAACAGGGACTGGACAAAATTATGGAAAAGCAATGTTATCAGGCTGGATAATTATCCATTATCCTCAGCCTCTGAGGCGCTAGAGACTGTCCCACCAGGACTGTGCAACAGGAAGCAGGGTGCTCTAGCGTATCTTTCTCCAACTTGGGAGAACCCAAATCTGGCCAAGATGGACCACTTCCTTGAATGTTCTCTTCAGGATAGTTTAATGTGAGTTCCAATATCACTTTTGCACTTCTGAGGAAATGCTATATATATATATTTTACACAAAGTCCTAAACCAGTGTTTCTCAACCTTGGCCCCTGGCAGATGTGTGAACTTCAACTCCCAGAATTCCCCAGCCAGCAATGCTGGCTGGGGAATTCTGGGAGTTGGAGTCCACACATCTGCCAGGGGCCAAGGTTGAGAAACACTGGTCTAGGCAATAAAACCACATTACTCCCATCACCTTCCTTCCCCAACTTCTGCACGCCAGAAGAAATGCATCGCCGTTTCCACTCACCACTGCCATTGCTCTTGGACTCCTCCGAGGGATCGCACCCTGAAAAGCAAACCAGCCCCCCTCAACTGTCCCAGGGAGTTTCCCCGCCCTCTTGAAATAGCTTTCAGCGGCAGGTGCTTTCTCCCACCAGCCAATCAGGACTGAACCGCTGAGCCCCAATTAAAGAGCGGAGAAGAGAACGGATCTGTAGCGTTTTGCAGGTGGGCATGAGCGTTCATCAACGGAGCCGCGAGAGGGCGCGAAATAGAAATAACAGAAATGATGAATATGTTTGCAAACGTCCCACGCCGAGCCCTGCTTCTCTGCAGCTCTCTCGCTGCTGGACAGAAACCTGTCTTAGGGACCCTATGCAGGGAAAAGTCCATTTAGACTACAACTCCCAGAATCCCTCTTGGTCATCCCCGGGAATCTATGGCCGCCGGCTGAAGGAGAGCCGCAGGACTACAGTTCCCAAGCAGCCGTTCGGCGCACGGCCAACCCACGTGCCATTCTGATTGGTGGGCAAGAGAGTAGCGCGTTGAGGATTGGCTGCCTTTGGGGCGGGGGCGGGTTTTGCAGCGCTAGGGCGCAAGGAGAGCGGTGAAGACCTTTAGGAGGGGGGCGTTTACGCAAAGGGATCGAGCTTTACTCAGGTCGCATGTGTCAGTCATTCCTATTAAATAGAGGAATTGCGGTGAAGCCTGTGGAGAGACTGCAGCCCAGAATAGCAAGCGTAGACATTGCAGGAGAGTCTCATGGTAGCCGAAAATATTGGCACCTCAGCTGAAAACTTCAGCTAAGTATTCGTGGATAGGAAAAGAAAGAGAAGCAGCCAGCATTTCTTTAAAAAAAATGTTTTCTGATTTGTAGTTCCTCTCAAAAGATGAGTGCCGTAATTAAGATTTCTCACAAGGCGAGCAAAGAGCAGCTTAATTCAGATTTGCAGATTTAGACTGTCACCCATTCATATTTTTCTTGGAGCAAATCCACCGAATCCCTGAGAGTTACATGCATAGGATTGTGTCTTAAGTGCTCCAGGAAGGGATCATATTAGCTCTATATTCTGTATAGCTCTTCAGATGCTGTTAATTCTACTTTTTAGTGTCCAAGCAGCCTCTTGCTGCATCCTGTCCCTGATACACTAGATCAGTGTTTCTCCACCTTAGCAACTTTAAGGTGTGTGGACTTCAACTCCCAGAATTCCCCAGCCAGCCTTGCTGGCTGGAGAATTCTGGGAGTTGAAGTCCACACTCCTTAAAGTTGCTAAGGTGGAGAAACACTGCACTAGATGTCAATAGCCAGAGGTCAACAACAACCACCTGAAGATGTTAAATATCAGTGCTGCACCCATTGACAACCACCTTCATTAGAGCACTAGCCACCTCACCTCACTGGTCAGCTTCAATCTGTCAAAATTTCAGATTCATAACAATAAACCCCCTTTTGCAACTTGCTGTGGAAATGCACAAGCATGCCAAAATTGCAGCTAGTTTACTCAACACAGGAACCTTTGGGCCTCTGCGATTGTTTTCTTGCGCAACTTAAAAAAATGAAAAATTACTGGCCATACATTTCAGTTCAACCCATTCGCCCAGCAGTCTTTCCTCACTGTAATTCAACGGAAGGGAGTGTTCAAACTGTCTAGCTAAAGAAAGAACCTCAGTGTCTCCATAGTTAGAGACAGTATCAAAAACGTCTATGTGTTTTTATATCTCTGGGCATTTCTCCCTGTCAAATCTTTGGTGCAGGTTTTCCACCGCAGTCAGAATAATTTTTTACTCTGTCAGCTTGGAATCCTGAAGGAGATTCTGCCGGGCAAGATTGGTGTTTTCCAGGGTGGCATTCACTCACTGGAATAGCCTCTCTTCTTCCTGAACCACTTTCAAGAGAGGCTTGTAAAAAAAATACACCCATTTTAATGTTGTCAGTCGCTCATTGGCCTGAGTTCGTATGTCACACTGAGCCGAATTCTTGTGAGATAGTCAAATCCTACAAAGATCTTTGTGTCATGAGATTCTGAGATAAAGAGCGTTTTTATTCCCCCTCCCCTTCTTAAAATTAACTGTTCAAGTTTTATTTAAAAAAGACAGGAAGGGCTATGATATTGCCCAAATTTACTTGATGGTGCCCACCGCCTGGTAGGGGACGCGGTGGCGCAGCGGCTTAATGACGCTGAAATGGTCGACGCTTCAGCGGTTCGAGTCCAGCCTTCGCGTTAGCAGGGTGAGCTCCTGTTTCCTCCCAGTTTCT